TGGGAGGCAAATGTTTTGAGAATGTCGAGGGCAACAAATTACATATGTGCTTGACACAATGGATGTATGTATGGATTGTGATGAGAATTGTACGAGTCCCCAATAAAATGATTTTTTTTAAAAAAAGACGAAATTGGTTCAGAAGCGCCACAGCCTGAGCTGTGTGTAGTCGGCACGCCCAGAGCGGTGCCTCCTCCCTGAGACGCTTTGCACCTCTTCAACTAAAAGGAGAAAGAAGCTGGAGGAAATCTTTCTTCGTGGAGGACAGACAGCTGGAGCAAGCTCTCCCAAGCTGACCAAGCAGCCGGACTACGACCTGGAGAAAACTCAGAACAAAGAAGAAGCTACCGTGGCCATGCTTCCCAATGACCTCTCCTTCCTGCAAGCTTTCAGGAAGGCCCTGCTCCTGGCCATGCAGGGGCAAGAGCAGGCCAGCAAACAAATCAGCAGCAAGAAATAGCCCCAGTGATGACTGCATATAAAATTGAAAAGAATGGAAGTTTCCCACAAACTTTTTGAAGCCCCCTTGTATATCTATCACACAACTTTTGCCTGTTTATTGTTTCCAGGTTTTAGCCTTATTGACAGCAATTACAAGAGTCTGTTTGCAAGCATACCATTCCATGATCCATGTAGTTTTTCCATCACCCCTACCCTCCACTCCCCACTTTCTCTATCCTGACCCCAGTAACTATTAATAAACTTTGATATCTATAAAAAAAAGAAATTGGTTCATTGTGATATCTATCCCTTCTGCCTAGAAAAATAGTAGGTTTTAAGTAAATATTTATTACATGTTGAAGATCCAAGGATGTAGGTAGGTCACATCTCTGTCCCTAGCACCCACCACATCAAGAGGGAACATTAGTGAGTATTATCTGACACACACACACATCTCTGTCCCTAGCACCCACCACATCCAGAGGGAACATTAGTATTATCTGACACACACACACACACATCTCTGTCCCTAGCACCCATCACATCCAGAGGGAACACTAGTGAGTACACACACACACACACACACACACTACCTTCCCTTTGGAGGAGTGAAGAGAAGAGGTAAGAAAAGAAGGCACACCTGCTCACAGCCATCTAGTGGCCACTTTTGGAACTGTACGTACTGTCAACTTCACCCCCAACCCCTTTTAGGAGAGGGTGAGCTCTGGGCGTGGTAAGGGATAGACCTAGTGTGTGATCTGGGGTCGTCTCTTGGGTATGACAGAGGGAACACTGTCCCTACTCTGCAGCGTTGTTGTCAACAGGGCTTCAGCTAGGCTGGCCCTTGGTAGAGGGGAAGAATTGTAGGGGGTGGTCCAGGAGACAGAGGGCATGGGGCAGTCAAGGAGAGGAGGGGCTTTCCGTTCCCCTGGAGGGCAGGCAGGTCTATGGGGAGGGGAGACGGGGGTCCTAGGGAAGAGAAGGGCCCTAAGCAGAGGGAAGAGCCTGAAGCAGGACCCCTCATCCACTGAGCCTTCCTGCCCCTCGCCTCTCCCCTCAGGCCCCAGCCTCTCATCTGCTTCTCTCCCTCCTCATCCTCTCCCTAGAACCTCCATTCCCACCTGCACATCTGTGACTCCCAGGGTCCTCCTCTTGTCAGACATAACCTGATAGCCAACACGTGGCCAGTGTTGCCGATGTGCCAAGCACCCCCAACAGTGCTGAGATAATGTCCCTAGTTTATAAACAAGAGGAACAGAGGGGCTCACTAAATGGAGGAGTTGGGGTTTGCCTCCAGTGGACACTCTTGGCCATGCTGTTCACAGCGCCCCCCCCCCCAAGTGTCCCACACCTGCCCCTCTTCGCCAGCCATCACCCCCTCCTCTTCCCTAGGTGCTCACTCCCTGACCCATCACCTCCTATCCCTTGCCCCCTCACACCAAAACCCCAAACCTGCACAACAGACCCTGACCATGGGAACGGCAGTGAGCCTGTGATGTGGGGGATGTAGGCCTTGGGATCTGGAGCCATCTGTTTTCCTCAAGCCCTGACCCGGTTCCTGCTCCCCACGTCCGTCCCACAGCCCTGGATGAACCCAGTGAGGATCAGAGCTGGAGACAGGTAGGACCAGCTGCCAGCCCTTTGGAGGAGTCTGCAGGCGTGGTTTCCTAGGACGAGGGACAGGTAGGGTTGGGGAAGAGGAAGCTCTTTCTCCACCCCTCTCTTAATCCTAAATGGGAGGCGAGGGGCCTGCCTTGGAGACTGAGCAGTCAGATCTGCGGCATTTGAGTTCTTCCCGGCTCCCCATCTCTTGTCGCTTCGGGGAAGTGCTCCCGCCCTCCTCCAGATCCTTGAATAAATAATTCAGGTTTTGAAATCTTCCCTGTCTCAGTCTCATCCTTCCCTTGCTGTGAGGGCGCTATTGGGCTGACACCAGTGACGTCACTAGCTCCTTATTCCAGCCTCAGAATCACGAGGTCCTCCCTGGCAGACCTCGGAGCCTGTACCCTAACCCTGGGGCCCACTCATCACAGCCTCCGGTTGGTTATCCATGCTCCCAGACCCCGCCACCTGCATCGCTTAGCCATGTCACCGCAGGACCTCAACTCTGCCTTCCGTCAGAGCCATGGTGACCTGAAGCCTTGTTGCTTCCCCATTGTCTCCTGCCGCTTTAGAACTCCTGAACCCCATCACACCAGAGTACTCACCCTGGCACCTCTACGTCCCCCGGGGGCCTCCCTCTCTACCGTCAGCGTCCCAGGGCCACCATCCCCCAAGATCCTGTCATCATGTTCATCCCGTCACTGCCACCCACCTCCTTGCTCCCTCGTGCTCCTGTCACCGTCACCTCAAGGCCCCGCCTATTCGGCAGCCCTGTCATCCTCACCGGGGACGCCCATCCAACCCTGTCTCTCCATCCCCGTCGCCTGGTTTCCTGTCTCTGCCACCCAAGGGTCCCATCACCTCATAGCCTATCTGGTCCTTTCTCCGCTCCCCCGCACACACTCCCCACGGTCTCCCGGAAACTTCTCCAGGGCTCTCCCGCCGCCGTCCCCGGACCCCCCCGCCCGCCAGTCCACAGAGGGCGCCTCGTCAAGGACAGCGCGGGCCCACTCGGGAGGGGGCGGGGCCAGGGCCACGGGCGCTTTTTATGAATGAGGGAGCGGGCGGAGCGAGGCCTCATTACTATGCCGCGAGACGCGCGCTGCGTCCTAGCGCGCCGCGCCCATTGGCCAGCCAGGCGGCTGACGTCACCGAGCCGGTGCCGGGGGCGGGATGGGGCGGGGTGACTCACGCCACTTCTCCCGGGGCCGCGGGGGCTTCTCGGGGTCCGCGTACACCCCGCGCCGCCCGGACCCGAGTGGAGCTTCCCTGCGGTCCCGACCGGTGAGTAGCGGGCCCCGTCGCGAGCACCAGGCGTCCGGGAGGGCGCGCAAGGTGCTGGGGCGCAGGGCGGCAGGAGGCTCCCAGCGCCAGGCCGGGGTCGGAGGTCGGAGCCGTAACCCAGGCTCTGGGGCGGCAGGCCGGGGCTTGAAGGTCGGGATGCTGAGAGCTGGCAGTGGGGTGACCGGGCGGGACGTGAGCAGCTCTACGGGGACGCGAGGCCTTGGAAGGACAGATGGTCGTCTGAGGTCCCGCCGGCAGGAGGCGTCTGGAGGAAGGGCCTTTGGAGGTGTCTGACTTAGGGTTCTAGGCAGGAGGCGGAGTCAGGCCCCAAATCCAGGTGTCCGGGCAGAAGGAGGGGGCTGACTGTGGGATCCAGGCTTCAAGCAAAGGGTGTCTGTTCCAGAGACTTAGGGGTTCAGCCTGGAAGAGGGTCCAAGCGAGGACAGAAATCTGGGTGTTGGGGTGCACAGGGGCGCTGACTTCCCAAGAGTTGTTTCTCCAGGTGCGTAGGGTGGGGGCTGGCTGGCGCGTGTCTCGCCTTCCCGGGGGGCGGAGCCGGGAGCGCTGACTACTGCCCCTCGTGAGGGCTCTGCCGAGACAGCGTCACGCTCCAGGATGGGGAGGGAGGAGGGCTGCCCTCAGTTTTGAGATGTGTTCCCCTCCTCCAAGTGTGGGCTTTTCCAGGTGTCCCCTGGAACGTGGTGTGGGTCCCTAGCCAGCTCAAAGACCCTCATCTGGTTCTCTGGCCACACACATGGGAGGTGAGGTGTGGCTGGTGAAAGAGACCTGCAGGACCTGAGGAGTCGAAGGAACAAAGTCCCCCACCCCCACCCCCCCACCCCAGTCCCTGCTCCACAGGAAAGAAACAAACCCCTGCTTAGAAGTCTGTCAAGGAGGAAGCCTTCCAGGGAGGACTGGGAGAGGTTAACACTCCTACTAGGCATTTTGAGGGTCACCACACCCCTCCAGCCTTGCACCCAGCCCCCAACCCTGCCTGCTTCTCACGAGGCCTTTCTCTTGCAGGTACCATGATCTGGGGAGCAAGCAGCCCCCTGGCCTGGCTCTCAGCTGGACCAGGCAACGTGAATGTGAGCAGCGTGGGGTCGGCAGAGAGGCCTGCAGGCCCGGGTGCTCCTCTGCCCTTGCCCAAGGCCTGGGATGTGGTATTGTGCATCTCAGGTACCCTCGTGTCCTGCGAGAATGCACTGGTGGTAGCCATCATCGCGGGCACTCCCGCCTTCAGGGCCCCCATGTTTCTGCTGGTGGGCAGCCTGGCTGTGGCCGACCTGCTGGCAGGCCTGGGCCTCGTCCTGCACTTCGCGGCTGTCTTCTGCATCGGCTCGGCGGAGATGAGTCTGGTGCTGGTTGGCATGTTGGCGATGGCTTTCACCGCCAGCATCGGTAGCCTGCTGGCCATCACAGTCGACCGCTACCTGTCTCTGTACAATGCCCTCACCTACTACTCAGAGACCACGGTGACCCGGACCTATGTGATGTTGGCGCTAGTGTGGGGGGGTGCGATGGGCCTGGGGCTGCTGCCGGTGCTGGCCTGGAACTGCCTGGATGCCCCGGCCACATGCGGTGTGGTGCGTCCACTCTCCAAGAACCATCTGGTGGTCTTGGCCGTGGCCTTCTTCATGGTGTTCGGCATCATGCTGCAGCTCTATGCGCAGATCTGCCGCATCGTCTGCCACCATGCCCAGCAGATCGCCCTGCAGCGGCACCTGCTGCCTGCGTCCCACTACGTGGCCACCCGCAAGGGCATTGCCACACTGGCTGTGGTGCTTGGCGCCTTTGCCGCCTGCTGGCTGCCCTTCACCGTCTACTGCCTGCTGGGTGATGCCCACTCGCCGCCCCTCTACACCTATCTCACTCTGCTGCCTGCCACTTACAACTCCATGATCAACCCCATCATCTATGCTTTCCGCAACCAGGACGTGCAAAAGGTGCTGTGGGCTGTCTGCTGCTGCTGCTCCTCGTCCAAGATGCCCTTCCGGTCCCGCTCCCCCAGCGATGTCTAGGGGCATCCCAGGGACCCGCAGCCCTGAGTGTGAAGGAATTCCAGGATGTCAGGTCCTCCAGGGTTTTGTTCCAAACCCCAATCCACACCCCCAAAAGCCAGCTGGTTCTGGAGTTCTAGGACACTGGGTGTTTGTTTCCCAATCCTCGACGGGCCCAGCTGGGGCTGTGGTTCTAGAATGTTCAGGCGGTCAGGTTCCCCTGAGTAACGTCCCCTGCCCCAGCTGTCCTGGAGAGCCAGGATGCTAGGTGTTTTACAGTGCCATTCCAAGTTCCTGACCTCCCCCTCCCCCGCCCCACCTTGACCTTGACCATGTCACTTTACTTTAGAATTTCTGAGCTAGAGAGTCAGAGAAGTTAGACCCTTAGTTGCCTAGATAAAAGAGATGGGAATTTATATATGTGCACCTACAAAGAGAGCTTCTATTTGTTATTTATGTATGTATGTATTTATTTATTTACAGGGGGAAGGGGAAAAAAGAGACCCACACCTTGAAATCCAGGCCATACCAGGGTACCCCCAGTCCCCGCACCCCCATTTCTGACCTCAGTCCCTAAAGGGTGGGGGGAGGGAGAAAGAGAAACCACGTATTTTGTTATTAATTTTGCTTATTTTTTATCGAAGAGATCACAGAAACCAGAGCCTTCTCCCCAGGCCCACACCCGTGGGTTTGCAGGGGAGACACACCAGCCTCTGGTTTTTTATTTTTTTAAGAAGCCATCACCCGAGCAACCGAGAATTCCTCTGCGCTGGGGCCGGCTGCCCTCTGGTGGCCATTTGGAGGAAACGGCAGCCCAGCTAGGCAGCCGGGACCCCCAACTGCACTGCAGCCTGGCATCCAGCGTCACAGCCATGGCCTGGGGGCCAGGCCTCACCTTGAGGTGCTTTAGAGGAGGCAGGGCTCGAGACGGCCTCCAGTGCACTCCCCACTCCTGGTCCCACCCTAACCGTCAATAAAAGACGATTTTGTGATAAATCTCGTGTGTGTGTGTGTGTGTGTGTGTGTGTGTGTGTGTGTGTGTGTGTGTGTGTGAAGAGGCCTGGTGAAAGAGAGCCTGGGAGGGTTTGCTGGGTCAGACCTGGGTCTGGAGACCCAGGATGGAGTGTGGCTGGCAGGTGACCCCCAAGGGCACATACCTGTTAAGGGCCTCATGACCTCTGAGGGAGGGAACCAACCTGGGGGTGAGGACACATTAGCCAGGTTGGGGCTTTGGGACCCATAAACAAGAGAACAAAGCTGATGCTCCCTCCTGCTGTGGAGGCTGCAGCAAGCTCAGCAGTTCTACCCCGCCCCGCCCTGGTTACCCCAGGACTCCCCGAGCCTCAGTTTCCTTTCTTAAATGGGAGTGATAAGTACTTGTAACCGAGGGTACAGAATGAGATGACATGTCAAAGCACTTACACGTATAGACTCAGAATGCACTGGTATGTCCGTTTCCCAAAGCAGAACGAGACCCTAGGTGGTTTTGACTAATTCTAACTCGTGGCGACTCCCTGTGCTTCGGAGTAGAACTGTACCCCAGAGGGTTTTCAACCTATGGGATTTCCTTCCCTAGGGCCTCTGGGTGGCTTTGAACTGCCCACTTGTCAGTTAGTGGCCTAATCCTTAACCATTTAAACCACTCAGACTCCTTAATGATAACAACGGTGTTCGGTGCTGTCCAGTCCATTTGTGACTCATAGCGACCCCTGAGGGGAACTGCTCATGGCCTTTTTGTGGACACAACCTTTACAGAAGCGGGCCGCTAGCTCTTTCTTCCTGCCTGGTGGTTTCAAACAACCAACCTTTTGTTTAGCGGCCGAGAGCACTGACATACTGTGCAAGGAGGGCACGTACCCTGAACATTCTCAGGAAGGTGGCCTTGAAGATAGGCTGCGTGTCCCCCCTCCAGTGAGGGTCCCTGAAGAAAGGGATATGCCTTCTTCCTCCAAAGGAGGGCCCATATCACTGGTCTGTTTCTCTTTCTTCAGCACTCGGAGCTTCTGGATACAAGGACATGCCTCCCACCTCTCTCTGTCCAAAGCCACTTCGGACTCCTCC